GCGGCAAGACAACCCACGCCAAACCACCCCACCCACCATCCCCGCCCGGCCCCTCCCCAGGCTCCAGGAAAGCCTCCAGAGGCTGGGGCAGGCGAAAAACAGGCCCACCAGGACAACCAGAAATTCCTTCCCCAACTTTCGGTTGGCTCATTGGGGCTGTTTTTCGCCCTCCCCAGGCTTCAGGAAAGCATCTGGAGGTTGGGGAGGGCAAAAAACAGCCCCGACGGGCCAACTGGAAGTTCGGAAACGATCCATTTCCAGCTTCCAGAGGGCCTCTGGGTGTGGGAGACCGTTTTTGCCCTCCCCAGGCTTCAGGAAAGCCTCTGGAGGTTGGGGAGGGCAAAAAACAGCCCCGACGGGCCAACTGGAAGTTCGGAAACGATCCATTTCCAGCTTCCAGAGGGCCTCTGGGTGTGGGAGACCGTTTTTGCCCTCCCCAGGCTTCAGGAAAGCCTCTGAAGCCTGGGAAGGGGCTGTGCGCGCATGCTGTGTGTGTGTGTGTGTCGTGTGTGCTCATGCGCAGGTGGGCAGGGAGGATTGCATTGGTGTGAGCACCCATGCACGCACGATAGCTCACGCGCCCACAATTTTGGCACGCTATAAGAAAGAAACTGTCCTAGAGGTTTCATGACTCTGCTATCCAGAGGAGGGTTTGATAAAATTAATCGGTAAAACCACAGGAATATATCTGAAGGTGGGATTCCTGCTCACAAGATTATTCCACCAACTGGAATTCACAGATTTAGGAAGTCAGTTTGCAGATACCTATCATCCACGGAGTTGAATGCAGCAATTCCTGTTGAAAGTCCCAGAATTTGCAATGATTAAACAGGTAATATTATAAGTAGAGGTGATATTCAGCCGTTTGGGGCTGGTTCACCTGAACCGGTAGTCTGCCTGCCTCCCACCCCAGCTCTATGCCATCCTATTTAGGTACATTTTTGAGGCTGGGGGCATGCATGGAAGGTGCACATGTGAGCAAAGCACATGCGCAGAAGGCCGGGCACATGAATGGAAGGGGCGCATGGACCTGCAAAATGGGTGCACGCCTGCGTAGCAGACGTGCGTGCACGGGGCAAACCAGTGATAACAAAATGTGAAACGCACCACTGGTTATAAGATGCAGTGTTCATTAACGTCATGCCTCAAAATCCATAAGAGCAGATCCCAAAGGGACACAAATCTCAAAGCTATACGGTACTTACATCTGTTCCACTTCCCTGTATGATTTCTTTAGGTGTTGGATAGAACTGACTCTCCATTTGTACATGTTGTTTTCCTTCTTCAGCTACTTTAACGTGTAGGACTTTAAATTTGGAACCACCCAGGTCCAAAGCGAGGAATTCTCCTTTTTCTGTAACGGAAATAATAGTGAGTAATGATTAATTCCTCCATAACGCCTTGCCAAATGATGTTTCATGAGCCTTAATATAGCGCCGTGATGGCAAACCTATGGCATGTGTGCCAAAGGTGGCATGCAGCACTCTCTCTGATGGCACACAAGCCGTCATCCCAGTTCAGCTCCGCCACGCATGTGCACACACCTCCCGCCAGCCAGCTGGTGTTTGGGTCTCTGCCGAGCATGCATGGGGGCAGGCACATTCAGAGGGGCATGTGCACTTCAGGGACTGGCCAAAAAAGGTTAGCCATCACTGATATAGAGATTGGATGGGGCTACTAGTTGCAGCCCTGTTTGAAGATCCTCTAGTCTACAAAAACATGAGCTATTGTGGCGCAGTGATTAGAATGCAGTAAAAAAGGTAAAGGTTCCCCTTGCACATATGTGCTAGTCATTCCCGACTCTAGGAAGCAGTGATCATCTTCATTTCAATGCCGAAAAGCCAGCGCTGTCCAAAGACATCTCCATGATCATGTGGCCGGCATGACTAAATGCTAAAGGCGCATGGAACCTTCCCACCAAAGGTGGCGCCTATTTTTCTACTTGCATTTTTTTATGTGCTTACGAACTGCTAGGTTGGCAGAAGTTGGGACAAGTAACGGGAGCTCACTCTGTTATGTGGCAATAGGGATTTGAACTGCCAACCATTCTGATCAACAAGCTCAGTGTCTTAGCCACTGAGCCACCGTGTCCCTAATGCAGTATTGCAGGCTAATTCTGCTGATTGCCAGCAGTTCGATTCTCACTGGCTCAAGGTTGACTCAGCCTTCCATCCTTCCGGACCCAGACTGTTGGCGGCAAGAAGCCGACTCTGTAAACTGCTTAGAGAGGACTGTAAAAGCACTGTGAAGTGGTATATAAGTCTAAGGGCTATTGCTATCTAACAGCATAAAGATATACACTTTTTTTAAAAGACCAATTGCTTGTGCATATATCAGGTGAATACTGTCCCAAGACTATGAGTAGAGCTTCATTTTGGATTTCATCACAAACATTAAAAGCGTCACAATATCGACATCTGAGACTTAAGCTATTGGTTAAGAATCTTCTAATGTCAGAGGGATCTTAGTATTCTGCTATTTGCAAAGTTACTACAACTGAGGATTCAGTACCATCCCACTCAAGATATCTAGCAAAGAAAGACTCCTGGCCATTTGTTTTGCCAAGGGTATACTTTAATGAAGCTTAAATAGTTACAGAAGTAGCATAAGCCGAATCCGAGGTTTTCCCGTGTAAACAGCACAAAGGAAAGTTCCCTCTCCTCTCCCTCCAGCCATCCCCTGGTTATCTGCAAATGTCCAATCAGGTGCTTGTATATTGTTCAGGAAACAGGCTCTCAGTTCCCAGCTCAGCATCTCGTTAATGACCTTGGCTGACTGGAGCTTCTCACAAGGCTCAGCTGGACCTTCATCCCTCCCCCACACCCACCGGTACTAATGTCAAGCTGCCAGTTGATGAATGCATAGGTGAGATGCAGCCATGACAGATACAGTGAGGACATCAGAGGTGGCATTCAGCCAGTTCTAACAGATCCTGGAGAACCAGTTGCGGACATTTTGAGTAGTTCAGAGAACCGGCAAATAGGCTGGCCCCGCCCCTGCTGCCTCCCAGCCTCCCAGCCGATCTTCTTTTGTTGCCCTGAACAGGAGAACGGAGCTGGGAGGCAGGTTAGTGGGGAGGAGAAGGAATGGGGATTTTGCAGTATCCTTCCTCTGCCACGCCCACAAAGCCACACCCACAGAATCAGTAGCAAAAAATTTTGAATCCCACCCCCCGGAGGACATGGTAGTGATGCAGTAATGTTAACAGAGCAGGGTTGGGCCTGACTGTTTGGGGTTAGGCTTGATTATTCCAAAGTAAGTGTGTTAAGTATATCAGAATTTTAGAGTTTGTTTTAGAGCTTATTTTTTCTAAACCAGCAAAAAATAAATGTGAGCTGCCAGATTTTACCCGGAAAGGCTGTAAGAAGGATGAAGTTGGAGCTATCAGCAACTTAAAGACTCCTGGCCTGTTGGGACACCTGGGACACTGTGACCATTATAAATATATGGCAATTACCAGACATCCAAATTTTGATCACATGACTGGGGTTGCTATAACAGTCATAAGTGCAAGGGCCAATCATAACTTGTAACTGCCATCCTAATTAAATGATTGCATGTTGGGGACTACCTGTTGGATCAAAAGAAAGCCTTACCTGAGCCATCAGGAAGTGACCTCACAAACGTTGGTAGCATTTTCACTGCAGCCGTTGGATTGGTATCTCTTCCTAAACCTTTCACCATCTCTGCTTGGAAGCGAGTCATCACATCATGGAGCGTATCATCAGAAAGACGCATCTGGTACAGGTACCGATCAACCTTGGAATAAAATACACCAGGTACACATTAGTGTTCTCTCTCTCTCTCTCTCTCTCTCTCNAGCATGAGGCTCTTCTCCAGTGAGTCCTTCCTTCTCATTAGGTGGCCAAAGTCTTTGAGTTTCATCTTCAGGATCTGGCCTTCTAAAGAGCAGTCTTGATGTGCTCTACATATAGGTTAAATAGGCAAGGTGATAGTGTACAGCCTTGCTGGACTCCTTTCCCAAATTTGAACCAATCAGTGGTTCCATGTCCAGTTCTCACCATTGCTTCTTGACCCGCATATAGGTTTCTCAAGAGACAAATAAGATGGTCTGATATTCCCATCTCTTTAAGAACTTGCCACAATTTGTTGTGATCCACCCAATCAACGGCTTTAGCATAGTCAATGAAGCAGAAGTAAATGTTTTTATGAAACTATGGCCAGTTCTTTTTAGCAACTTGTAGTTTTTGTTAGCAATGTCATAATATGCAATACTTAAACTTTCTACACGTAGCAGTTTACAGTATTATCTAACTACAGACTTGTAGTTTTTGTTAACTGTGCTCATAGTATGTAATACTTAAACTTTGTACATATAGCAGAGTTTACACATTACCCATGGAACTTGTGAACTGGCCTGTTGATGTCCTCAGAACAAGAGCTTAAGACTGTGTGTGATCTTGGGTCTTTCCTTAATCCCCTTTGTCTGGCCGAAGTATAGTGAAGAAGTGGTTTTTAAAAGACAAACTTGAAATGGCAGCAGAGACAAATCCACTAGAAAAATCTGATCCAATCCCAAGAAGAAATAATGGAGAGAAGAGGTTCTAACTTTTATAACAGGGATTTGGAAAGGGGAGACAGTAGATCTGACTATCTTGGAGTATAAGAATGTGGCTAAGTAACAAAAATTACAGTAAGACTACTAATGAGAAGGAAGGACTCACTGGAGAAGAGCCTAATGCTGGGAAAGATGGAGGGCAAAAGAAGAAGGGGGCGACAGAGAATGAGGTGGTTGGATGGAGTCACTGGAGCAGTTGGCGTGAACTTAAATGGACTCCAGAGGATGGTGGAGGACAGGAAGGCCTAGAGGAACGTTGTCCATGGATCGCGATGGGTTGGACATGACTTCGCAACTAACAACAATAACTAATAACAATGAGCTGAGGAGGCAAGTTGGGAAAGTTTTGGCAAGACTTAGGCACGAATGTCCACATATGGATTTTTCTCCAGAAAGCAGATTGTGTTTTTTAGAATTAGGAGGGTGTGTGTGATTCCAGTTTAGAGCCCTGGTGAAATTGAAGATGGAAGTCTAATTCTTTATCCACACATCACATCATTTTCACTGATTAAAATTAACTACAGAAGAAAAACACTTCCTGAGAAGTGATGCAAAATATCTAGGTTTCCAAATAATATAAACATTTGTAAAATTGTTTTCTGAGGTTTTCGCGGGTGTTAGTATGTTAGTATCCAGGAGTGAAACACCAAGCCTGAAGTAGCCTGAAGTAGCCTGAAGATGACGAATGAGACTTCGTCGAAACGTCGCCAAGACATCTCCAATTCTACGCGGGAGAAAACCCGAATAACTATATATAATATAATATAATAATATAATATAATATAATATAATATAATATAATATAATATAATATAATATAATATAATAT